GCAGAGAGGTATAAGTCACGACTCTCGCAGCTGTTAAGGTGTTCTGGTCATTCTGTGTGAGGCAGGTAAGGTGGAATGCAGGCTCACTGCGGCTTGATTGGCCACTCCACCCTTCTTCCATTTGTAGGCTAGGCCAAGGGCCTTCTTATTTACTTCCTAGGACCTGGCCCTGTGTTCACCAGGGCCAGGTAGGGACCAGGGTGCATTGACTGTGTATCCCAGTGGTCCTTATGGTAGCCGTGAGCAGCAGCTGCATGGAGAGCATAGACTTGCTGCGTGCTGACCACTACTCGACAGATCTCTGTCTGACTTGTCCTTGAGGCCAGCGTTTTTCCATGCCAACGATCCTTAAATCATTCACAAGGTGGCGCCTAGGACCAGGGCAAGAACACAGTTGGCCTGCAAGTCCTCAGAAGCGTGCTTGCTGCCTAGCTGGCAGAGTGAAGACATTTGAAGGGCATTGCTGACCACACCTTGAGCAGTTCCTTTACGTGAAACGAGGCAGGGCAGGTTCAGCCTGGGCCTAAAGGTGGACTGAAGGTCAGGCGAATGCCGCACAGTAGAAGTGAGGGCTCAGTGCTCTTCACAGGTTCTCAGTGTTCTATGCGAGTCAAAAGAGGGGGAATTCAGGATCACTCCAAGACTCTCTCCTGGATCTTGGTGTGCTATTTGCTATCTGTGGCCAGGTTGGTGGACTGCATGGCCAGGCCCTGCTCATTTCCCCACCAGTTGTAATCTAAAGGGACAGCAGGCTGATGAACTCGTGAACCATCCCACTGCAGGTGGTTGGCCTCTAGCTGGGGTTCGTTTGAGCCCATGGCAGCATCACTGACTCCCAGAAGGTCAGCAGGAGGCAACCATTTATATCCTGCAGCTTATCTCTTGGCTGGCTGGCTAGAGACTGTAGTGCCTCATGCACAATGGTATGTGCGAGGGCTCCTTGAGCTCCTGAGCCATGCTAAGGCTTTTGAGGGAGGCAGGGAGGGTGTAGGAAGACTGAGATATCAGAAACCCGTGGGTCTCCTGGGGGCGTTTTGCCTACTGAGTCCCTGTGGGTCTCAATGAAGGGCAATGCCCTGCTCACTTTTCAACCGGGTTCTGTTCCGTGCGATATTTTCTCTCTAATTCTATAACCATTCCTTTTCAGAGGGCTGTATGCAGGCTGTGGAGAGCAGGAGTGCCCAGCCTGCCCATTGTTCGTACAGATTCTCCCTGATGGAGCCAAGTCTGACAGTGACCTCACATCATGCTAGCCGGCAGCTAAATTTGGCTCTGCAAGGAGAACAACGCCAGGTGGTTCTCACAATGCGTCCAAGAGGAACTGAATGTGACACTGGATGCCAGTGGTGTGAGTGCAGGTTTCATCATGGCAAAATGAAACTCAACCGTCCTGTGCTCGAAATCCAGGGGCCTGGCAGTCTCACACTGTGATGAGGAGCTCCTCAAGTTGCTCCTGCCTGCAATTCGTTAGGAGTGGGACATGTTGGCCATTTTAAGTAGAATCCAATGCTTCAAATCATTGATTCGGGGAGGAGGGGAGCTTCAATGCAAGGCTCTCCAATTACCTTCATGGCCCTGGGTCATGGCTGTGGCAAGTTCCAGCTCAGTGCGTATTATTCCATGACTCTCCAGACCTCTGCAGTATTGTTTCTGGGAGTGTGTGTGCCCTGAATGCAGAACCAGTCTGAAAGTTTTATGCATGAAAGTCACACCTGTGTGAACTTGGGCTGTGTCTGATAGGTCTTCACAAGGAGGATGATTTTCCTCTGACTTGACGACAGTCTCCCTGCTGTGGCCAATAGATCCTCACCATATCCATGGAGCAGACCTAAGTGAGGATGTTTCCTCTGACTTGACGACAGTCTCCTTGCTGTGGCCAATAGATCCTCACCATATCCATGGAGCAGACAGCCGTGAGGGCTGTCTCACTGGCCAGCTAAGAAGTGCCCAAAATTTAGGACAGGCAGAATAGTATGACTCACATCTCTCGCAGCTGTTAAAGTGTTCTAGTCATTCTGGGCGAGGCAAGTAAGATGGAATGCAGGCTCACTGGACCTAGATTGGCCACTCGAACTCTTTGCCATTTGATTGCAAGGCCAAGGGCCTTCTTATTTACTTCCGAGGCCCTGACCCTGTGTTCACCAGGGGCAGGCAGGGACCAGGGCGCGTTGACTGTGTATCCCAGTGGTCCTCATGGTAGCCGTGAGCAGCAGCTGCACAAAGAGTATAGACTTGCTGCGTACTGACCACTACTCGACAGACCTCTGTGTGACTTGTCCTTGAGGCCAGCGTTTTTCCACGCCAACAATCCTTAAAACATCCACAAGGTGGCGCCTAGGACCAGGGCAATAGCACACTTGTCCTAAAAGTCCTCAGAAGACTGCTTACTGCATAGCCGGCAGAGTGAAGACATTTGGACGGCATGGCTAACCACACCTTGAGCAGTCCACTTACGTGAAACTAGGCAGGGCAGGTTCAGCCTGGGCCTAAAGATGGACTGAAGGTCAGGTGAATGGCACACAGTAGGAGTGAGGGCTCACAGTGCTCTTCACAGGTTCTCCGTGTTCTATGTGAGTCAAAAGAGTGGGAATTCAGGCTCACTGCAAGACTCTCTCCTGGATTTGATGTGCTATTTGCTATCTGTGGCAAGGTGGGTGGACTGCATGGCTAGGTCCTGCTCATTTCCCCACCATTTGTAATCTGAAGGGATGGCAGGCTGACTGATTCATGAAGCATTGCTTGTCTGATGCTTGGCATCAGGCTGGGGTTAGTGTGGGCACACTGCGGTCCCCAGGGAATCTAAAGGGCCTGGAGTTGGCAAGCCCTCATGATCTTGTGCTCGTCATTTGGCTGGTTGGATGGAGCCGGTTGTGCTTCATGCACAATGACAGGAGTGAGAGCCCTCTGGGCGGCAATCCATGGTACGCCTTTGAGGGAGGCAACTAGGGGGAATGAAGGCTGAGTGCTTGGCCATCCATTGTTCCATTTGGGGCCTTGAGCATGCTGCTTTGCTGGTGGTGTCAGTGCATGACCAAGCCCTGCTCATTTTTCAACGGGAATTTCTCCCATGGGAGGTTTTTTCACTGATTCCATAACCCTTTCTTTTCAGGTGGCTCTATGCCTGCTCTGGAGAGCAGGAGCACTGTGTGTGAGTAATGGTTCCTAGACATTCTCCTGGTCGGAGCCTGGGATGAGAGTGAACTCACTTCACTCCAGTCTGCAACTCCGAGTTGCACTGCAAGGAGGATGACATATCGGGGTTCTTACCATGCATCGAACCGGTAGGAAAGGTTTCACTGCATGACCGCCATATGAGTGCAGTTCTCTTAGTTGAAAACAGTACCTCACCTGTGTTGTGATTGAAGTCCAAGTGTCTGGCCTTCTCACCCTGTGTCTTGGAGCTCCTAAAGGTTCTCCCACTTTCAATGCGTTATGACTGTAATGTGTCTGCAATGCTAGGTCGAACCCAAGGCTTCATCTTTTGATTCCAGGAGGAGGACAGGCTCAATGCATGGCTTAACCATTCACAGAGTGGCCCTGGCTCATGGCTGCAGTCAGCTTCAGGCTCAGTGCCTGTTGTACAATTACTCTCCAGACCTCTGTATGATTGATTCGCAGTGTGTGGGTTCTCTGAATGCCAAAACAGTTCAAAATGTTCCACTGCATGAAAGTCAGGTCTGCGTGAGCTCATGGTGTGTCTGACTGGCCTTATCAAGCATGCTGCTTTCCTGTCAGTTTGAGGACAGTCTCACTGCATGGCCAAATATTCCATAAGCATATCCCTGGATGAGACAGCAAGTAAGGGCTGGCTCCCTGTGCAGCTGACTAGTACCCAAAGTTTGGGATATGCAGAAAGGTATGAGTGATGGCTCTCCCTGCTGTGAAGGGGTCCTAGTTGTTCTCTATAGTTGGCAGCGAAGTTGGAATGCAGGCTAACTGTGCCTTCATTGGCCGCTCTAACCTTCTGCGATTGGATGTCTAGGGGAAGGGCCTTCTTATTCAGGTCCTAGACTCTGCGCCTTTGTTCACGAGGGGCAGGCAGTGATAAGAGTGTGCTCACTGTGTGGCCAAATGGTTCTCATGGGAGCCCTGCCTACAAGATGCACCAAGGCAAGACTTGTTGCATGCTTACCGCTACTCAGCAGACCTCTGTATGACTGACTATACTGTGACACAAACATGTTTGCATGCCTAAGGATCCTTAAAGCATCCACCAGGTGGTTCTTAGGACCAGGGACAGACCACTGTGGGCTGGCCAGTTCTGAGAGGAGTGCTGCAGAGCTAGCAGTGTGAGCACATGTGGACTGCATTGCTAAGCAGTCCAAACGCAGTCCTCTGGAATCTACCTAGGCAGGGCAGTTTCAGCATGGGGCTAAAGATGCGCTGAAGATCAGGTGAATGCTGCACAGTTGGAGTGAGGGATCTCTGTGCTGTTGAAAGGGACTCAGTGGTCTGTCTGAATCAAAATGTTGGGAATGCAGGCTCCCTGCATGGCTCTCCACTCTATTTGGGTGTACTATCTGCTATCTTTGGCAACTCGGGCTGACTGCATGGCTAGGCCCTGCTCTGTTCTCCACAGATTGTAGTTTGAAGTGACGGCAGGCTGACTGACTCATGAAGCATTCCTTGTCAGATGGTTGGCCTCAGGCTGGGGTTAGTGTGAGCGCACTGCGGGCCCCAGGGAAGTGAACCGCCTGTGGGAGGCTAGCCTGGATGATGTGCTGCTCATCATTTGGCTGGCTAGATGGAGCCAGTTGTGCTTCATGCACAATGATAGGAGTGAGAGCCCTCTGGGTGGCCAATCCATGCTAGGCCTTTGGCGGGAGGTAGCCAGTGGGAATAAAGGCTCACAGCTTGGCCATCCATTGTTCCACTTGGGGCCTTGAGCATGCTGTGTTGCTGGTGGTATCGATACATGGTCATGCGCTGCTCATTTTTCAGCAGAGTTCTCTCCCAAGGGAGGTTTTCTAACTGATTCGATAACCCTTCCTATTCAGGTGGCTGTCTGCATGCTGTTTAGAGCAGAAGCACTCTGCATGAGTAACTGTTCCTGCACAGTCTCCTGGGTGGAACCAGGGATGAGAGTGAACTCATTTCACTCCAGTCTGCAACTCCAAGTTGCACTGCAAGCAGGACGATGCCACAGTGTTCTCACCATGCGTCGAATAGGTATGAAAATTTTCACTGCATGCCTGCTGTATGAGTGCAGGTCTCTTTGTTACAAACTGTACCTCACCTGTGGAGTGATTGAAGTTCAGGGGCCTGGCCGGTACACACAGTGTCTAGGAGCTCCAAAAGGTTCTCCAGCTTTCAATGTGTGATGAGGCTAACATGTCTGCAATGCTAGGTTGCAGGAGGAGGACAGGCTCAAAGCATGGCTTCCCGATTCAGTGTGGCCCTGACCTATCCTCCAGGCATCTTAAGTCTCTCTGCCTGTTGTGCAATGACTCTGCAGACCTCTGAATGATCATTTGGTGACATCCATGTTCCCTGAATGCCAAAGCAGTCTGAAATATTTCACTGTAGGAAAGTCAGGTCTGCGTGAGCACCATGGTGTGTCTGACTGGCCTTCTCAGGCACCCTGCTTTCCTGTTGGCTTGAGGACTGTATCACTGCAGGGCAAAATATTCCATAAGCATATCCCTGGAGGACAGCAAGGGAGGGTCAGCTCCCTGTGCAGCTGACTAGTCCCCAAATTTTGGGACATGCAGAAAGGTATGAGTGATGACTCTCCCAGCTGTGAAGGAGTCCTTGTCATTCTGTGGGAGGCAGCGAAGATTGAATGCAGGCTCACTGCACCTTGATTGGACATTTGAACCTTCTGCCATTGGATGTCTAGTGGGGAAGG